TGGGGTCAGGTTGCCCTTGGAGATCACAGACTTTAACAGCATGAATTGTCAGTTTGCTGCGTTTAAGAATTCCTGGATATCAGTATTGGAATGGAGGGAGACATCATTTCTCTACCAATACGAAGCTGCATGTTGAATATGCATTTTGTTATTCATTATAGAATCTGGAAATAATCTTTCTTTGGGGTTAGGCAGATACCCACTAGCTGAATGCTGTAGGATGGGGAAAAAAAACAATCAGACTATTCTGATAATTAAAGGAGAACTCTGGACAAATTAATAAAAAACTAGGCTTGCCCTGCACTGCAAGGTTTGAGTGCTTGTTTTGGTCTAGGGGCTGGAATAAAGCAGATTTACTTACCTGAACCTGGCTTCCTCTGGGCTGCTATACTGGTCCCCACAGGCTCTTCTCCACTGGTCTCCAGCGGACTATAGCAGGGGTAGCCTAACTCCAGCCCTCCAGCTGTGGTGAAACTACAAATCCCATGATGCATCTCTCTCCGGGAGTCGTGGCTGTGAGAATCTTGCAATGCCTCATGGGATTTCTGGTTCCACTACAGCTGGAGGGCCGGAGTTTGGCTACCCCTGGTCTAAAGGAACAGTGATGTCATCATATACAGCTCTATCGATTTGCATTAGAAGCGAGAACACCGATGGACATTCCATAACCGGAGTGGAGGGAGAGGGAGGTAAGCATTGGCCACCACAGAAACTGGGATCAAGTAAGTAAAACCACTTTATTTGAGCCCACTAGACAAAACGAGTGTTTAACCCTTGCAGCTCGGGAGGATACACTTGGAAGGGGGAATATGCAGGTCAGGGGGTGGGCTAGTAATAGGCCCTATTTTCCTGCTGGAACAATGTAAAAAAAAAAGACCCTGTGCAAGTTCCAAATCATTCCAGTGGCAGGGCTGAGGATCCTCATGAAACAATGTTCAGGCCTGGTAACTAGATGTTTAGCACTGTATTGTGGGAAGAAACACATTATTCGCCGCATCCGGAATTAATTATCATTTCATTCACTGTGTAAGATGAACAGCCGTGGGGGAGTGGAATGGTGAGTATAAGCATGGGCAGTACAGTTAAAGTACAACTAAAGTCCCCTGTTTGACAACAAATCTAGTTACTATGTGATGCACAAGCCTCATAAACCAACAAAAAACCTCCTTTACCTCCCCCGACTAAACCAAATCCTCCTTAATTTGTGTCTCACGCATTCCCCCTCCCAGACACTGCAGCTCCCAGTGGGAGGGTTTCCGCAACAGTGGGAGTGCTGTCAATACAGAAAGCAGTGGAGCGGTAGTAGCGACAGGACTGTGAATTAGCAGTGACGATGCTTTTAGTCACACCCCCTGCAGCGTTTTTTTCATGCTACTGTGGTGCAAGCAGGCACAACCTGCATGAGAGTGGCAACTCTGCTCTGAATTCAAGAGCAGTGCAGTATTGTTGCCACCCCATTACAGGATTAGGTGGACTTCCCTGGCAGGATCAACAGGTATTTGTGGGAATTTGCAGGAGAACTAAGAGAAAACGGCAGAGTCAGATACAATTATAATTGGGTTCTGCAGCACATATCTTTTAATGGGAGACCGGAGTTTACATGGTAATTTGCTTTGGCACAAACACGGGTTCACTTTAAGCAGACAACCTTCACAAATACACCTAAAAGAAAACCCTAAATAGATATAAAGTCCCTCCAACTTTAGCATGCACAGCATCTCGCCAGGTGTCATGACCCCAGTGTACAGATAATTTGCTGCTTCTGGAGTCCCCGTCCATAATGTCACTTATAGCTATTAACGCCCGTCTGCGAGCTTCCAGTACAGGCAGAAATGTATTTTATCTAGCGGTGGACCATTACCCACCAGCACTGGCGGGATTAAAAGCCCCATTATCAGCTATTAGTATCTCGGTGACATATATATTAAACATAGTAACAGTGTGAGAACAGGGCCCATAACACTGATTATCTTCATTACATGAATTGTAGAGTCTCTTCGGGCGCAGCCAGGCAATAGCGTAGAATGGTACAGCAAATTCAGCATAAAAATAACATCATATGTCCAATTAAGTGTCAGTTACTGGCACAAAGCAGAGCTCAAATCTGCTGACCCCGGTGGACAGGGAAAATGACGAGATGGCTTTTTCTCATTTTTTTTTTTTTTTTTTCAATCAGTAATTTGACATTTCATTAAGGTTGTCTTTGAGCTCCCATGTGTTACCGCCATTCATGAGTCACGCTGATTGTTAATTGGCTGAGTTATGGATAATGAGGACCTTTTTGCAAAGCAGCTTATATATTATGCTGTGTGCCCGCTTATAATTTGATCACGTGCTGTATGGCAACAGTTGGAGCTGCAGAGTAAAGAACGGCAACTTGTGAAGAATCACAATATGTGGCTAATTCACAAAGATTTAACACAAGATTAAGAATCTTTGTTTTCATCATGTGACTGTCAATTTCAACTCTCATTGGACTTCGTTGAATGTAACTCACTTTTTTGAAAATAAGTATCCTTATTCTGGTATGTAAAGTAGGGATGCACCGATACTAGTATCGGTGCCGATGCCGAGTATTGTGGCGAGTACTCGTACTCGCCTAAATGCTCCAATGCCTAACCCGATACTTCCTGTATCAGGAAGCCGGGCAGCACGTCATTACACGCTGTCCGGCTTCCCGATTAGCAGGGAAGCTGTCCCCATGCTTCTCGTCACTATGTGACGAGACAGCATGGAGCTGGCTTCTCAGCCGATCAGAAAGCCGGGCAGTGTGTAATGACGCGCTGTCCTGATTAGCCGGGAAGCTGGCTTCATGCTCCCTCGTCGTCCCAATTAGGAAGCCGAGCGTCGCGTCATTACACAGTGCCCAGTTTCCTGATTGGCCAGAAAGCCGGCTCCATGACTTCTCGTCACATAGTGACAAGAAGCATGGGGACGGCTTCCATGCTAATCAGAAAGCCGGGTGGCAAGTCTTTACACGTCACCCGGCTTCCTGGCTATAAAGGAAGCCAGGTGGCGAGTCATTACACGCCGCCTGGCTTCCTGATTGGCCAGAAAGCCGGCTCCATGCTTTCTTGTCACATAGTGACGAGAAGCATGGGGACGGCTTCCCTGCTAATCGCGAATCCGGGTGGCGAGTCTTTACACGCTTCCTGGCTAAAAAGGAAGACAGGTGGCGAGTCATTACATGCCGCCAGGCTTGCTGAATGGGACTTCCGGTACTCGATATTCGGTATCGGCGAGTACCAAAAAACAATAAAAAATATCGGTACTTGATACCGAAATACTGGTATCGGTGCATCCCTAATGTAAAGCTTTGTGCATGGAGCCTATATGTGTACTTTGTAGATTGATGTTAACCTTGTGATTTGCCAAAGAAGTACACAAGTACGTTTCTTTTTTCCAGAGCTTATTTAAAAGAGAACTAAAGATAACCTTTTTTTGGCTTTAGACTGAAAACACAAAGCGCACGGCTCACCCGTATCATGCGTCCCCACAATCAACACGCGGTGCACGGATGACTCTTTTCTGGACTGACGGACTCAAAAACTATAGAACCAGCAAACGATGATCTTCCAAAGAATTTCAAACTTTATTCCACATGCATCTATACAAAGAACAACACCTGACGCGTTTTCTGCCTTACTCGACCTTAGTCATAGCTGGTTGTGATAACATAATCTCTTTGGAAGATCATCGTGTGCTGGTTCTACAGTTGTTTGGGCTTACACTATTAGCGTTGTCTGCTCAGGTCTATGTGAGAGAGAAAATCATAAAGAATGATCAATCTGTTGTAGACATTCAACAGTCTCCCTTTCTCTTAGCATTCACCCACTCAGGCTGTACATTGTAACTTTCCAGCAGCTCACAAGGCAAGACCCGGTATCGGTTTTGGCCTGACAATTGTTTCTATTTCGGTTTCGTTTCGGTTTTTACATTTCTATTTCGGTGCACCTCTAGTTTAAACCCTTCCCTACCCTATTTAAAACCTAAATAAAAATATTTGCCAATTCGGTGCACTTTAAGACCTGAAAAAACAAACAAACGAGGCCATGCCATGCTGTAGACTGTATGTATGTTCTCAGCAGAGGCAGAGAACATCCCGTGTCATCCATGGCAGAGAGCGGCAGCACGCCATGTTAAAATCGGTTGCAGCACGTTCCCCTCCATCTTTCCTCATTTTACAATATACACAGCTCTGTGTTAATTGCCGTCTGTATTGTGTTGGTATGACTGATCATTTTAATATTGCAGCCCTCATAGCAAGATAATTGTTGCCAGACGGCAGAAGGTCTGTAGGAGACTGGAAGGGAGTATTCTCTATCTCATAGTGTCACTTTGTGATGGTAAATGTTTTCACACAATATGGAGTAGCATCTTCTTCGCAGAGCGACATTCTGGCTTTAATGTGGAATCCCGCCACGCAGAGGTCACGTGGCTGCCAGCTTGAGTTTTGCTCTTTTTGGGGGGTTTTTAGACAAAGGTTATTGTTTTAAACCCATTTCTTTGTGTAGGTGAAAAAATTTACCTCAACATGGCTACGAAAACAATGGCTTTGATGATCAAGGAGCACTGCAGTCCTACAACTCATGACATGAAAGTATATCCAAGCCATGTAGCTGAGAAGCATTGGAAACCAATATTTATTTGGTATGCTTCACAGCACCATCTAGTGGCCACAATGTGGTATTTCCCTAATACATTCGACTTGCCTCCATTTCATTTGCCTCCAATTACAAAGACAAATGGCTCTGCAAATATTTTATAACCCTCCCCCCCTTAGTATTCATCACAGAAATTGTTGTGTTGGGTATGTTATGAGGCTGCTTTAAATGCAAATATTCCTTGGATAAAGTTCCCATTTTAAATGTTATGGTTGCTTTCACAAGTGCTAATTGAGAGAGACGGCTAATTGGGTAAGTATAGCAGCTGATCTGATCGCTTTGTTAAATGTGGACATATGGCACCCGGAGTGGCACTGCTTTGTTTTCTGTTTCCAGGTCTGTTGTGCGCCTCGCTGCCAGTCTGTTAGGTAAAATAGTGGACAGCCTTGCCCCATCTATAACTAACGCTTTAGTTCAGGGCAAGCAGGTAAGTGGATGGCTCAGCTTTTTTTAATATCTTTTTTTAATCTCCTGGAGGCGTGGCCTGTAGCAACCAGTCGGATTTGATTTCTCCAGCATAAAAAGCAGACTCCTGTTTGGTTGCAAAAGGCAGCAACTCCCCTTTCCTCCATTTGTAGACTTGACAATATTCATAGAAAATGGAAACTAATGAAGATAGAAAAAGGACATCACGCAAATTTTTTGTATCGACATCTCAGATGTGAACGAAGGCTGGCCATGCATGATACTATCTCATGCTCCATTCACACTGGGGGAGGCTGCCCGCACGTATGCGGCTGTACGAATACGCGCGGAGCCGCTCTGAACAGAAAAAACTGCACTTTAATGTGCATTATTCACACTATTGCGGGGACCGTATGGTACGAAACCGCGCGACCCCCAAAATAGTGCAAGCGCGATAATACGGCGGATTCTGCACGTTCGTGGCTATATAATGGCCATAACTGAGCGGAATCCGTGCAGTTGTTTCACATATAGCATTTGCGTCCCATGCAGTGTTCCGCACAGAATTCCAGTGCGGGAAACGCAAACGCTATATGTGAATTGGGCCTCATCCTTTAGATTTATCGGTAACTTTTGAGTATGGCTGCCCACCTGATTGCATGTAGATTTAATAAATCGTATAGATAAGGCTGTATGCCACGTTTGTTGCTGGTCAATCTAAAGGAACCTGTACAGAGACCATGCAGTGAGAATATAACATGAAGAGGCAGCTCAGCCGCGGCAGTTCACAGTGCCTAGCAAGCAAAGGAATGATCTTTGCCGCCATCTAACTTTTGTAAAATTCAGGTCTGTTCACCTTGACACAACCCCATGCTGGTTCCTGAGCTGCAGAGAGGAAAGCATTTGGCTCCACCATCCAATTACATTAAAATTGGCCAGAATTTTATTGTCTTCCTTCCGTGCAGAGACGGGCTCAAAGGTTCTATGTACTCAGTAAGTTAGTTACAATGTAATAGGTTCTTTTGAAGACTTGACATAACAATTGTGTTAGCAATCCAGACAATAAACACTTAGGTCTCGTTCACACCTAGGCGTATTGCATATGCGCGTCTGTCGCGCGGAATAGCGGTAAAAAAGTTGCGCGACCGTCACGCGTTTCCGAAGGCTACTTGGCTGTATCCTAATGGAAACGCGCAACAAAACGGCCCAAAGTAGTACCTGTACCTTTTTAGGCGTGGGCCGTTTTGTAGCGCGTTAGGGACGGGCTGAAATACGCCAAGGTGGGAACGAGACCATTGAATACAATGGGATTTAGATTTTTGAGCGTTTTGTAGAGCGTTCGTCGAGCGTAGAACACGCTACAAAACGTTCAGGTGTGAACGAGGGCTTAATTTCTCAGTCTTTTATTGAAGGACACAGCACAGTAATTCCTTACATGCGGGTATACTGCCACCCATTAGAGGTTTGGACACCGTACAAATCAAATTGCGGCCAGCTCACTCTAGTGATTGTACAATACACCTTCTCAAGAGATCAGTTTAGCTTAGAAATTGGCTGCCCCTCCTGTGGTGGATCTGTCTGTCTCAGTAAAGTCAACAGGTTTATCCCAGGTTTGCAAACTAGCCACCTGATCCCACCAAATGTTATGGCAAAAAACAACTTTCCCCTTACTGCTCCTTTTGTGTTAACCTAACTACTTGCTACAGCTAAGCTGCTGAATTGGGTTGTAGCCACTAGAAGGAGCTGCCCACTTTTTGATTTACGTAGTGTCCAAACCTCTTGTAGGTGACAGTATAAGCCACGCATAAAGAATTACATATCTGAACTTTTGGAGAAAAGGTTTTTACGGTGAGTACAAAAAATAAATCTTGTTTCATTGCAAAAGGTAAGCATGCATAGTATACATGCGTAGCCCATTTGTGCACACATCCTAACACTGTCCTCATCCTGGAGAAACAAATGTGTCTTGAACGGGATGTTCAAAGCATCCAATCCACTTTTCCTCCTGAGAAAGACCAGCCAGGGTGTCTCTTAGGGTCTGGTATCAACCAGAATGCTGGTTATCTGATGTCTGTGGGCACCTGAAAGCACAGTGACCAGTTACAATGTCAGTCTTCCAATGCAGATTAAACATTGAATGGAAAATCTGAGTACCAAAGACAAGACGCAGTTCATTTCTCAGTAGGTGACTGCGAAAGTATTCACCTTCAGATTCCAGTATTAGACGTGCGTTTACAAAGCTAAGAAATTTTCAAGGCTGCAGCCTCATTACAATTCTAATTCCAGCCACACAATAGCGATCTCCACACGCAGTAGTTGTAAGGGGATTCTCAGGTAGAATTGTATCGACATTGTGACTCCTCAGACAAGTAATTGCCTCTATCTTATGGTGGTTCAGCTAACGAACTAATCCATTATTTTGCCTGTGCTGGGAATACTCTGTGCAAAGCGCTTGGCTCTAACAAGTGTGTTCATGTCACTTTATGATCACTTGCAGCCATTATGCAAAGGAGATGATTTTTTTTTTTTTTCTTTAGACTTGGAGTGTTTAATGCTTGGAATATTCCAGTATAAATGTCATAGACTGTTTGGCTTGCAGTGGTGAATGGTGTCTTGCACGTGCCCCTTGTGTAGAGTCAGATGTGCATGATGCATTAGGATGCGCAGGCTCACTGCTCATTACCAGCTTACTTGATGGATGTTTTGTGTTCCCAGGTGACTCTAGGGGTATTTGGTCACGAGGAAGCCGTCATCTCTAACCCGCTGTCCCCCGGGGTAATAAAGGACATTATTTACAGCAAGTCCAGTCCGTACGATGAGCGAGAGGCTGTCCTGCAGCAAGAACTGGTCATCCATATTGGCTGGATTATCTCCAACACTCCAGAGCTGTTTAGCGGCATGTTGAAGATCCGTGTCGGGTCAGTCATCTTCACCTGTTAATGAACTCGGCATTTGTCTTTGTATCACTCATTAATTTGATATGTTCTGTGATTCATTTTACATTCTTATAGACTTTGGGTTTAAAAGAAAAACTTCCCTGTATGCATTGCTTGCCTCCTGAAGTTAAAGGAGAACTGTGAGGTGCGTGCTTTTTACTCACCTCATAGTTCTAGCCGACCTGTGACAATGAGACTGTCACAGGTCGGCTCAGTAGATCGAGAAGTGAGCGAACACATACCGGTGTTCGCTCACTTCTCGATGCTGTCACGGCTCTCTGCCGTGACCGGGGAGGGGCCGCGCTGACAGGCGGAACGGACGGGGAGGGGGAGATACAGCTGGCTCTGCCTCTAGATAGGCAGAGCCAGCTGTCACTCACGCAGCTGGGCCAATCTCGGCATCGATGTCGGGATCCGCTCCGACTGCCTCGTCTCAGTATACTGCGAGCTGTAGGGTGATGGGAGGACGCTAGTTTGTGTCCTCCCGTTACCCTAAGGAGAACTATGGGGAAAAGCCCTGACCCCATAGTTCTCCTTTAAAGTGACCTGAACTGTACTAGACTATACATGGAAGTTGCAGTTGGTTCCCGCAACCATTTTGACTGTTAGTAGGTCACCGTGTATACCAGGTGTAGGCAAAGCCTGGCCCTCCAGCTGCTGTGGAAGTACAAATCCCGGGATGCATTGCAAGTCTTTCACAGCCATCTTGGGTAAAATGTGTGTGGATTTTGGGTGGGAACATTTATAATTATACCACTGAAATATAACCAATCCAAAACATTTTCTTTTCATTTTGGCTAGAATAGGAAAGCATTAAAACCCCTGTCAGCTTTTTTGTTTTTGTTTTTTTAGCCATCTATGTGCAATTGGGGAGATTTTCCTTTGCTTCCTTTCCTGCAGACACAACAGGATGTGAGAGGAAATGTCTCCAAAGTGAAGGGAAATCTCCTTTTTGTTGTCACCTGTACAGGGGTACCCATTGGAAGATCTCTGCTCTATGGCTGTTCAGGTGACAAATGAAAATTTTTGAGCCCCGCAAATCATTTGGTGACCAGGACAAAGAGAGGGAGGACATCTCCCCAGCGGGGTGACACAGGGAACAAAACAAATCAGTGAGAGGGTCCAGAAAAAAAGTTTTTGTTTTAATTATTCTTTAATACTTTGTGCTTTTAAAGCAGACCTTTACCCCCTTTTACTAGAAATCACATCAGCATGCAGCTCTGCTGATTTAAAATCCTCTTACATTCCTTAGTTAACCAAACTTGTTTTTCATTTACCTACAAATAGAGTTCATCTACTTCCTGGTCCAGTTCTGGCACAAATGATGTAAGTGCCAAAGCGTTGCATCCTGGGAAGGTTACATCAGCAGGTCATTGCTGGGAAATCTCATCTGCAATCTCATGAGATCTCAGGGAAAGGCATTTTCCTCCACTGAGATGATGTGCATGCTCACATGTCCTAGTCACATGTGCCAGAGTTCCAGGAAGTAAAGGGAGCACTAGTAGCCTGCCTTTAGTTAACATGGCCACTGTCAAAAGAGTGTAAAAGAGAAGAAAAATAAGGTATGCAGAGAATACAAAGCCGGCAATTATCTAGAAGTATCTGTTTGTAGATTGTCATTACTAAACATTTCTAAAGGTGTGTTTGTTTGTTATTTTAAAGAGAAGAGTAAAGTTCCGCTTAAAATTCTGCTAGTACCTGAATTTTTCTTCTTATCGCCCTCCCGTAATCCTTGGCAAGGCCTCCCTCTGAACGGGCAGGGAACAGAAGGAGCCAGTCAGGCTCAGCAGCAGTGCACATGTGCTGAGAGTGAACTCAGAGACAGGACAGGAAAACAGATATTTTATGTTGTACGTCTGATCCTTTACCGTCCAATTAACAGGCAGAGGAGTGTGTTTTGACCACAAATTCTTCAGAAAACTGCTGCTGCTACATTACAGGTCCAGGATCTGGCTGTGCTGTTTGCCAGGGGTGTCTAAAATAGAAGTCTGGCTATGGTCTATGGCAGAGAATAACCTTCCATTACATGTATTTCACTATTAGCCCATCTCCTAGAGCTTTCTATTGAATAGCTGTGTATGAAATTAGGAGGTTTATCTCACCATTAGAGATGTTACAGAGTATATACCATTCTTGATACTCCTCTGCAGTGCATTATGGGAAGCCTACAAGGAGTAGACCTTTTGTGTGGCTACAGGTCTACAGGTGCTACAGGCACGGAAGGCAGGATTCCGGTGGTTAACCACCCCTTTAAATAATGGTAATGATGCTCGGAGGAGTAAAATTAACATTTTGTGTGTGGACGTTGATTTGATTTACAGTTTCGTTATTGATTTTTGCTCTGGCAGTCTGGCTGACATAGATCAAATGCCTGACAGAACCATTACAGAGCAAACCTCAGTTCCCAGGCTCTGTCACTCACAGGATTCGTCAAGAAAAGATGGAGAGATCCCCCCTGCCTCCGGGTCCCATCACTCATAACCATTTCAAAGCTACATTTCCTGTTGGGCGGTTACTTCATTTTATGAAATATTATCTCACTGAGCCTCTTGTGTTGTCTGCAGCAAATAATTGCATTTCTAGTTCTGATCTTCTAGTGCGAGGCGGAAATCAGTTTGGTCGATTGTCAGAGGCATCTACTTTTTGTGCCCCCACTTGTAGAAATACTGCACATTTGTGCACATTTCCTTTTTTTTTCCATGCAAATGTAAAACTAAAAACCACAAACAGCACAGGGGACAGAAAAGGTGCGCCTAGGAGAATGTGCAGGAATGGGTCTCCTTCCCGGGCAACTATGCCAATGCCTTTTATCCAAAGCAAAAGGATGTTTTCTTTCTGGTTCATTAAGGAACACAGAAGGTCCTAAACATTCATGGTATACTGCTGCCTACAAGAGGATTGGACACTGGCAAGCAACAAACCCTGCCAGCCCAGGGTATAACCTCTCCTACTACCAGCACGCCTCAGAACGTGGACATCATGGATGTCTTTTCTTCCATTTCTGTTGAGTAAGCAACTTTTTCTTTTCACTGTTTTCTTAAATCAAAATTCATCTATATAGCGCTGCTGGAGGTTTCCCCTCCCATCAGCAGCTATTCACATCCGGATCCCAATGGACTGGACATTGCGTGGCTAGCCTGGAAGTGGCCTTCGGCCACTAGGTCCCTCATGGGGTGGTTTCCAGACTTAGTCCTGGTTAAGTTAGCACTTGCCCTGTCACTGGAGATTCACTAGAAAGTAGGTCAGTGAAGCCAAGCACCAGGAGCGCCCTCATTTCGGGCACCTTTATTTCTAGTTTCCTGCTGACTTTGCTATTGATTGGGGTTAATGCTGTGGGACTGACCACTGGCATCATATGCTAGGTGGAGTGTCGCGATCATTCTCTACCTCCTTTCCCACCATACAGTTTTGAAGAAGCATCTCCGCACTGCTGCTTCTTTTGAAAAGAGCCAAGTAGAACTCCCCTCTGTCCTTGGTGGGTCCCGCCTTACACCCAATTCTGTGATTCTGGCTGGGCAAAATCCTCTCAAAGTGATTTAGCCACTGCTGCTGTTGACCCTTTCCTGTTAAAGTGACATTAAAGGCAATTTTTTTTTCCACCTCCCCCCAATGCCAATATAAGGACTTACCTTAAATGATGCCTCCTTATCCGATCATCTTCTTTCCTGTAGTTTTTAGCTGTCCCTCCAGCGCTGGTACGTGTCTCTGATCCAGCGCTGCCTCCTCTGTCCTCCTCTCCTCTGATGTCCCACGGTGTCTGTGCGGGCGCACGCTGCTCCATAGACTTACCTTGTGTCTCTCCTCGTCTCCCGACCGAAGCTCTGAAGTGTGCATGCCCCAAGATCCTTTGCAGCCGCCCGCAAAATTTTCAGATGTTCCGACGGGAGCGCGCGGCGGAGACACAGGTAAGTATTAACCCTTTGAAAAAGTTTTGGTTTTGTTTGTTTTTTCATTTTGCATCTATCTACTTCTTGCTAGCAGTAGATATATGCAAAAACCAATGAGGGTTTAATAACCCTTTAAAGCTTACTGTATTTGCTGGCATATAAGACTACTTTTTATACTTAAAAACATCCCCCGAAAATCGGGAGTGGTCTTATACGCCGGGTATACAATGTATAACTTTAGTTAGTTTGGGCCAAGCTGGCCCAAAACGAACATCCATAATCTGTCAGCCCGCTGGATGTGCAGTAATACTGTATGTACGGTAGCTTCGGCTACATACAGTATACCATGCTGAGCCAATCACGGCGAGCGATGTACACCACCTCTGCCAATCCAAGCTGGCTTTGTATTAATTAATAGAATACATCGCTCACCGTGATTGGCTCAGCGCGGTATACTGTATGTAGCCGAAGCTACTGTACATACAGTATTACATCCATCCATTATGTTTTTAAATGGTGTTGCCTTGGAAGTGGGGTAGTCTTATATGACGAGTATAGCCCAAAACCTATGTTTTAAGTGGAAAATTAGGGGGTCGTCTTATACACCCAGTCGCCTTATACGCCGGCAAATACGATACTTTACATGCTGAGTGTTGTATGTGGATTTGGTAACACAGAAGTCTCACCATCAGGTTCATCTCACCTGCTCCTCTATAAACAAACACTAGAAACGTATCTGCAGCTTGGTGAAAAACCAATTTTCCGCTTGATAATGCAGTTTTAAATAATTTACTTCTTATTTACAGCAAAATCAATTAGAATCATTGCACTCCCTTAACACAACATATATATTAATAGCCGGAGATATGTGGAATTAATCGGAGTATTATTCATCTGAAGAAACCCAGATTGAATAGCGTCTGCCATTAAAGTCCAACTAATCTATTGAATATTTTTATGCTATGAATATCAGGCTGCTGTACACACCCGGTCTGTCTTTTTCTAACCGTGATTTGCAGTGATGCTTTGCATTGCATATTACAAATCATTTTCAGGAGCGGAGAGAACCAGGACACAGCACCGAGTAAAATTTGTACCTTTACTTGCAAATGTATTATTATAAAATATTATTTCATTTCATATACTTATTACTGGACTATCAGAAGTTCTCCCTTTCAATGGGTGTTGATACATGTCGTCGTTCATTTTTAAAGGAACAGTATGCCCAATTCATTGAAGTCATCCAGCTTTTTATATATATTTTGGGGACTCTGCTGGTAAAATGATGAGATGAGAAGGGCAGTAACTCCTCAGGGTGGGCAGGAGCTTCTAATATTCCAGTTTGTAGACAGTTATGTTTCGTTTCATTCTGAATCGAAATTCGGACACATTACTTTAAATTAGGATATTCGGGTGCATACAAATTTCTGAATTCGAATGTATCCAGAGTTTAGGATGCATCCAAAATCGAACAAAGTCGAAAAAAAATTCGGCATTTTATTAAAAACTAAACTAGATTGCACATGTGACTCTGTGTCCATGTAAAGACTAAGATGACCAGTAAGGACTAAAATGCCCAGTACGGACTAAGAGGGCCGGTACGGACTAAGAGGGCCGGTACGGACTAAGAGGGCCGGTACGGACTAAGAGGGCCGGTACGGACTAAGAGGGCCGGTACGGACTAAGAGGGCCGGTACGGACTAAAATGCCCGGTACGGACTAAGAGGGCCGGTACGGACTAAGAGGGCCGGTACGGACTAAGAGGGCCGGTACGGACTAAGAGGGCCGGTACGGACTAGGGTGACCGGTACCGAATAAGATGACCAGTATGAACTAAAACTACCACCTCACTCCCCCTCCCCCCCCAAAAAAAAATTAGTAATTCATAATTAAAGAACCACATCTGAATTGATCTGAACAGAAAACAAAAAATTCAGATTGATCTGAATAGTGAATTGAATCGAATTTGGATCCGAAACAAAACACATTTTTTGAGCCTTTACATGTTCATCAGTTTGTACAGGAAGAGGGTATGGTAGGGAATTACCTGACTCTTCATGACTGAAGCCATGTTTGGGGGGGGGGGGGGGGGCCTGTTAATTTGCATGAGCAAAATAACAGCTTTAATTCTAATTGATTGGTTTGAGTACATACCTGACAGCCATCTTGTACCTTGGATAGATCGGGCTGTGTGTGTGTTCAGTGATGACATTGCAGGGGTCAGCTGGTCATTGCTCATTGGCCTCCTATAGATGTGTTTGGTCATTGAAGAGAATGTCATATGTCTGGAAACGTATGCGCATTCCTGACCCACAAGTACGCGTATTTGACTTTATAAGTCATGACTGAATCTTGTTACTCATAAATCAGACTTCTGCCTCTTGTCTTGTAAAAATCTCATTACATCCCGGAGAGAGTCTTCATGTCTTTGTTTTAGAACTTTAATGAAACCTCCACACCCAATAAAAGAGATGTTACAAAGCAAGCAACCGGCGTGAGACTTGTTATCTCAATTACTCAGCCAGATAACAATACATTTTATAAGCTGAATGTGGTAATCCTGATATTTTCCAAGTTATCTTTTGAAATCAATGTACAATTTCTGTTTTAAACACATTTTTTTCATATTCTTCAAACTCTAATCTGTTATAATGAATTAACAATAGCAAGACTGACCCCAGCAACCCAATAGAATTGACCCCCTCGGCTGTACATAGCGGCTGAGAACCTGTACCTTATACCATTTTAGCAGCTGGCTCTGCATCGCTCTTCAGGCAGAGCCCCAGGAGAATTCAGGTTACAGATCTGCAGCGACTGGTGGGTTTTGTTCATTAGCAGCAGCCATACAGAGTCCAGCTTCCCCGGGCTGAGAGAAAACCCTGAATCATTGCAATAAGTGAAAATATATATTCTGTGTTCACGTCTTCTGTTCTAATTGACTGGAGTTTTCCCAGAACTGTCCCAGATGTCTCCTTTGCTAACTATGTGTACATGACTACAGTGAGGTGATTAGCGAAATTCCAATTGATTATTGAGCTCATTAGCTCAGTTAGCGTACGGTATTATGTGAAATCCATCTGCAGCCTGATTGCATGGCGCAGCGTTTTCAAGTTTCCTTCTGAATATGTAGCCAGTGACAAAGCTGCCATTAAGTCCGGCATCCAGAGGATTCTACTTCCGGTCTGTGATAGATCTAGCCAATCGCGATGATGCAAGATTTGACAGGTATTGTTCGGCCATGTGGTTGTCTGCTGCCAAGCACAATAACAGTAGTCACATGACTTCAGCCTAGGCATGCCAAAGCAGCCCGCAAGCAATGTCACCATTCATCTCAACACCTAAGGCATATTGGTCATGTGTATGTCTGACTTGTGTCCCCATCTTCCTTCCAGCTGGATCATTCACGCCATGAGGTACGAGCTCCAGATCCGTAGCGGGGATCAACTAGAGAAGGACATCTACCAGCTGTCTCCAAGTGAAATCAAGCAGCTGCTCCTTTGTATTTTGAAGCCACAGCAGTCTGGAAGGTGAGAAGGGAGCAATGTCTGCCATCTTGGGTGCAGCCATGTTGTAAGATCGGTCTTATATTTAAAGTGAACCTGTGCTTTGCCGATAAGCAAGCTGTCATCTGTGACCGTTATCACCAGAGGCATGCCTTGAACATAGCCTGCATTGTGCATGTGCTAGCTAGTAGGCAGAATGTGAGGCTGGGTTCACACCTGGGCGGCACAGTTTTAGCGCGTTTTTACGCGCGTTTACAGCATGTGGTTATTTGCTCAATTATTATTGCTCATTCTGCACATTTGTATGCGCGTTTTAATGCGCGTACATGAAGACGCCGCGTTTTGATTGGCAGCTCATAAACCATTGTGGGCAATGGGCGAACGCACGTATAAGTGCTCAAAAACGCTCACGAAAATATACAACATGCTTCTGTTGCACGTTTTTGGGCATTTCCAATGAAGTCTATGGTGAAGAAAGCGCTTTTAGCTGAACAAAGAAGCTCCTGTATCTTTTCGAGCGTTGGGCGTTTTTCTGCTCAGGTGTGAACCAGCGCCATTGAATATCAAGGGATCTCTTGTGTTAGGCAGTTAAAAGCACTTTTGGAACTGCTCAAAAACTCCTAAGTGTGAACCAGGGCTAAATGAAAACTCTGCAGAAACACATTGATATGTATAAAGATATAATAACATGAATTAAACATTTCTGGCTCAAGCTCTAAATCAGTTACATTGCTATAATCTAAGTTTATTCAGGACTATGGACTTTCCCTGTGACAAAGCTATATGTCACATGCGCCTCCATTCCTAGTACGGGGTATCCTGCTGAGAAAGGGGTAATGAAGCAAACCGGTTGCTTTGCCCTGGACTTTAAAAAAAAACAAATACCACATTTTCACGATTCTGATTTGTAGATCCAACTCCTAGTGATTTTATGAATCTGAAACTTCATTCACATTTCTTTTAAAGGAGAACTATGAGGCGAGTGCTTTTCACTCACCTCAGTTCTAGCCGACCTGTGACAATGAGACTGTCACAGGTCAGCTCAGTAGATCGGGAGGTGAGCGAACACATACCGGCGTTCGCTCACCTCTCGATCCTGTCACTGCTCTCTGCCGTGACAGGGGAGGGGCTGGATTCCCCCCTCCCTCCTCCGATCCGCCAGCGCTGACGGGCGGAACGGACGGGGGAGGGTACAGCTGGCTCTGCCTTTAGATAGGCAGAGCCAGCTGTCACTCACGCAGCTGGGCGGATCCGGCACAATTGTCGGGATCAGCTGCAGCGTCTCAGTATATAGAGAGCTTCAGCTCGCGGTATACTGAGCCTAGGGTGATGGGAGGACGCTAGTTTGTGTCCTCCCGTTACCCTAAGGAGAACTATGGGGAGAAGCCTTAACCCCATAGTTCTCCTTTAAAACAACCTCTGAGACAAAGCCAGCTACATGTTTCCTGATCGAGCAAACTGATTGACTTTGAATAGAAAACGTAGAGCAGTAAAGCACAATTTTCATGTAGGATCTTGAGCGGGAAGCAGAGCCTGCATATGTTATGAACACCTTTGGCTGTTCCCACATGGTTAACTACAGCCAAAGTACCATAGAAGTCCTCTACACAAAAGATATCTGCACTGCTAATAATAAACCAAATACCATTCGAAGCAGTGGAATCGGATTTACTTAATTGAGACAATAACGTTGGTCTGAAAGAGCACATATACATGGGCACTTGGTGGAAACATTTACGATGTATACCCTAAACAACCCATTCAAAGGTGAATTGGTAAACTGAATAAACCAGCTGATAGGAAAGTTAAAATGAGTCTTATACTGGGGTGAACCGGATCACAATTGTATGCATTGAGTACATCAAATACAAAGTAATCTGTGTAAACCTGAGCTGGTGCCCCCCCTGGTTATAACAGATAAATACCGGTGCAGTGAAACTGATGGAGTGAAACGCTCCATGCATGTTGCATCGCAACCGTATCATCCCTGTACACCGGAGATGGTGCCTCCCCTGGGTATAACAGATAAACACAGGTACAGTGAATCTGATTGCAGCTTCGTCCGTGTAAACCAGAGATGGTGCCTCCCGGGGTTACACCATCTCATCTCTACTCAGGTTCCCATAGGTAGGCTTTGGGTATTTAGCATATCCTTCATGCAGTTCTTGATTGCAATATATTGCAGCACCTTATTTATAGTCATGCATGTGGTGTGATTCCAACCTGTGCAATCGCAGACTTGAGGTGATTATTCTTTATGCCTGTACCTTCTATGTAATAGCTGAAGCGCTCTTCATATAGTCACATGTATGCTTTGTGTTTGTTGCATTCGTTGCATGAACCTGTGACCCAGGTCGCCCAACATGGACTCATTTTTAGTTTCTTATGAGTTGGTTTATTCTGTTTATTAATAGACCATGAATTGGGTTGTATCGGGGATATATTTTAAATGTTTCAACCAAGTGCTTGTGTGCTGTCTACATGTATACGTGTTCTTATGTTATTGTCTGAATAAAGGGAATCAGAATTCACTTCTTCAGATAGAATTTGGCTTATTTTTAGTGGCGCTGGTATCTGTTGTTTAGATGACTTCTTTTGTAGTGTGTTTGTACTTATCCATGTGGGAGCATCCAAATATGTTCATGGCATATGCAGACTCTATATGGGTTGGACTTTCTATATGGGTTGGACTTGTCTATATGGGTTGGACTTGTCTATATGGGTTGGACTTGATGGACGTATGTTTTTATTCAACCCCAAATACTATGTAACTATGTGACTCTGCTTCCTGCTCCAGATGCTTCATGATCATTGTGCTTTACTGCTCTACTTTTTCTGTGCAAGTCAATCACTTTGCTCTTTCAGACAATTATTGACTTGAATTATTGAAGATTTGACTTCTTCTTGCTATGGAATTGATGCACCGATGCAATTTTTTCGGTATTGAGTACCGATACTTTGCTTTCGGTACTCATCGATACCGGTGCTTACGCTGCCATGGAGCCGGCTTCCCGGGCAATCTGATTGCCCAAGAAGCTGGCTCCATGCTGTCTGGCCGGCTTCTGATTGTGCTTGGCCAGGAAACCGGCTTCCCAGCCCATCAGCATCGGCCCGGCTTCCCGGCCAATCAGGAAGCCAAGCAGCGGGTTATTACTCGCCGCCCACCTTCCTGATCGCACAGAAAGCTGGCTCCATGTTCCCCTATGGCACTGCCGGTCAGAGGAAGATTTTGGTACCGGGGAAGGTATCGGCACCGATAGCGATACTAGTATTGGTATTGGTGCATCCGTAGTATTTGGTTTATTTTTCGTGGTGCAGATGCCTTCTGTGGCAGTGTGCTTGTACAGTTTGTTCCTCTCCCTTCTTCCGGCGGTACAGGTTCTTTGTGTGTTATTGTCACATGGACAAATACGACCTGTACCCAGTACAACCTGTACGCTGATCTCGTTCTCATCTATATTGTGAATACTTTAGTAAGACTCTAAGTTCTCTTCCAAATCAGCCACTAGATTATAATGAAGCACGCAAATTAAAGTGCACCGTCCTCTTTTTTTTTTTTTACCTTATTTATAATTTAGCAATGCTGTTAGATAAGAGCGTAGAATGTTCTGCTGTAAATCATTAGACATTTATTATTCATTTTACTGATGGATCTGTGCAATCAGCGTTGATTATTTTACTATGTAGGTGTTGGCTGAACCGCCGGCAGATAGACGGCTCTCTGAACAGGAATCCGTCTGGCTTTTATGACCGAGTGTGGCAGATCCTGGAGAGGACACCCAGCGGGATTATAGTGTCCGGCAAGTTCTTGCCCCAGGTAACCCCCCTGTATTATATGATATGCTATCTTCCCAATACTTCATTATATCTGTGTGATGTTAGCTGTACCATTGAGTCAGCGCATTGAACCGCCGTACAGCTAAATCATCGATGATTGCCAAGTACAATGAGACTTCTGCTGAGTAAGGGCCTCCGTATACAGCGCAAAGTTCATAAGCAGTATGATAAACTGGAACAGAGCTAGAAATAGACAGGGTGGCCGTGGGATTAAAGTGGTGCTCCGGCCAAAATGAAAATGTCAACACATGGCTAAATACTGGCTGATGTGTATGTTCATGGATGCTGCTGACATCACTTATAATAGCTGCGTGTCAGCGTCTTGTGTGTCACCTCTCTGCCCCCGGGAGCTCTCTGTTTGTGAAAGCACATAGGTCAGCACTGTGCTGTAGTAGTCACCAGATTACACTAGTATTATAGTCATTTTGGCTGCTTCTCCCACCACCATGTTGTGTCACACACTTCCTCTTGTGTCAGTGACAAGCTAGTAAATGTAGTTATCACATGCACATTGGGATTCTTACTGATTGTGCCGGTGTCACAGGACAGGAAGAAGCAGAGAGCAATAAAATCTGGAGGTCTCTTCTCTGCTAAATATAGATGCTTTTGTTGCAGACTGTGACATAATCAGAGAGAGATCCCATCCAGTGGCGTCACTATGGGGGTGTGGCCCGCACCCGGGTGACACCAATATGACTGACAGTCATTTTGGTGTCACCCCCTCTGAAAAGTTGCATGAGAGGAGGGGGCCTGGTGGCATACCTTATCCCGCCGGGTGAACGCCCCCTCCTCTCTCTGCTAGCGTCCATCACCAAGATGGCCACCTGCAAGTATCACCAAGATGGCTGCGTATGCGCGCGACTTCATCACGCTCTCGCGTGATGATGTCATATGCGCGATGGCGGTAGGACTGGGTGGCACCCGATACCCGCTCCGGGTGACACCTAGCCTCGGGACGCCTCTGATTCCATTACTTGTTTTGCCTGTGATATCATGTCACCAGCACAGGAAGTGAAAGCAAATATCCCAGTGAGGGCACGGATAGGAGTAACATCTGACAGAGGTTCTAATCCTTTGCCACCAACCAAAGCGGTTTGGCCAGAGCTGGGCTATGTCTGCATGCAGTGACTGGTGCTGCTGAACTGGTAATCACAGCAATTGCTTGGTGGTATTGTACACTGAAGAGAGCTGGTAGCCTTGTGCTGGGAGTTCCCCTTTAACTAGTCCATTGTGGAAAATCTCTGATGTTTCCCATCTGACTACAGAAAAGGGAATTAGTCTCTTCTCCGAATGTACTCTGCATGGGGCCATGGGCTGAACTGGAATGAAGTCACTGCAGGTCCTGGCAGTGGACAGTATAACCGGGCAAGGTCGTTGTCTGTTTTTTACCAAGCACTGGGTGCCTGTCGGTGGTTGTACTGTGTAAAGGTAGCCTAATGGCAAAACCATATGGGCGATTTTACATACCAACAACTTCTCCTGTCTAAAGGTGGTTATACATGTAGCGTGTATTTGTGATAGCTTTAACTATGAGCAATCACAAACACGCAATCTGCTATTGATTAAAATATTGAATAATGCAGCACTTGTGGTAGTGTTCCGTATATTGGCGACAGACTGGACATATTGATTGAGAATATGATCTGTCAGTGTAAGGGTGGCACACTCTTATTGATATGATTGTACAAATGATCATTCAATGCAAGAAAATGATTGAATAGAATCAAATCTGCAAACCAATAATCCTCCATTCGATTGACATAATGAGCTCCCAATTGATCTCTGCCAAGGCGATCAGCTGTGGTAGGATTTTGACTGTTGCCTCTAATCAATATCAGTGTGACAGACCGATTAAGTGAACGACTTTCACAGACCAGGTACATTCATTACTGATAGATTGATCAATATTTGCAGATGTATTTTTAATTAATATTTTCGATTGCAAAATGTGCAAAAGTACCACATCTGTTAGATTGCTTGTTTGTCATCACTCATGTCTAGATTGATCACAGATCTCTGTGTATGGCCACCTTTTCATGAGCTGAATAGTTCAATCCTGTGCAGGAAAAAGCCTTTGTAGACTGCTTATGGTGGGGTAGGTAGATTCCAGTCGCCCTCTGTAGATACCCCCATACTGGCCTGTGCAGGTCATTCTCATCATCTGTCCATTCTTCACACAGCAACCCACCTTGTCGGACATGACCATGTACGAGATGAACTTTTCTCTGCTGGTGGAGGACATGCTGCAGAACATCGCTCAGCCGGAGTATCGCCAGATCATCGTGGAGGTAATAGCCTGCAATCACAAAAGAGGACTGCTTTATAATTACCACATTTTGGTGTTTTATTATGATTGTTACCATGATGCCTCCACCACCGCCATATCAGTTTAGGGCTAATTCATGCAATTGTGTTACCGCGGCACTTTACATGTATGAGTGCGAGGCAGTGCCATTCATTCGTTGCCGTGAACTGCCAGCTATGATACATTCACCATTTGGGTGCGCTAAGCATCCCATTCAAATGAATGGGCTGCCCTAATGCAACGCACATTAACACACGTCACTGGTGTGAATGGGCCCCTATAAATGCTACACACAGAGCTCCATTCACTGTATGATGCACATTTTGTCATATCTGCACCTGTAGTTTTGGAGAAAACCCTAAAAGGGAAGAAGATTCTGCCTTTGTTTTTTGTCCGTATGATTTTAGCATGCTTTGGACGAGTAATATTAAGTCCCATCTCTTCTACTAATTAAGAAACGTCTCTTTTTGTGCCAACTCTGCCATGGCAACAGCTTAACAGCATGGAAGCAGCATAGACTAAAATATAGCTCTTAAAGCTAGGTAACCAAGTGTTGTAGAACTACAAGTCCCATAAGGCATTGCAAGACTCACAGCCATGACTCGCAGAGGCATAATGGGTTTTGAGGTTACCACTACAGCTGGAGTGCCAAGGTTGGCTGCCCCTGCCCTAAAGTGTATGTAAACCTTAACAATGAACAGGGTGACAACACTGCTCCTCCATAGATTAAAAAAAACAGTGAGTTAGTGTTGTCACGCTACAACAGGAAATGTGTTACTGACAAGATCACCAAAAAAAGGAAAACATATTTAAAAAGGAAACTAATACAACCAACACATTTATTTAAATACTGTGGAACAGGAAGCCTTTACTGCACACTGGGGCCCCGCAGGGATATGGATTGGACGGCGGTAGAGCTGATTAGACATTAGCAACTTTGGTTTTATTAGGGATGCACCTATACCGTTTTTTTGGTATCGAGTACGAGTGCAGATATTTTTTTTTTCGGTACTCGCCGATACCGAAAGTCCCATTAAGGAAGCCGAGCGGCGTGTAAAAACTCGCCACCCAGCTTCCCGATTAGCAGGGAAGCCGTCCCCATACTTTTTGTCACTAGGTGACGAGAAAGCATGCAGCCAGCTTTCTGGCCAATCAGGAAGCCGGGCGCCGTGTAATGACACAGCGCCCGGCTTCCTTGATACCGGAAGTATCGGGCCATGCATCAGAGCATTTGGGTGAGAACAAGTGCTCGCCCAAATACTCAGCATCAGCACGGATACTAGTATCGGTATCAGTGCATCCCTAGTTTTATACATCGCCCCCTTTGACTTTTGTTCTGTGCCATGCATAGTACAAGACCTGACACCCTCCACAATTTCTACCGCGCCCCCTAATGCTGTCTGACAGCCGTTCGCATGGCAAATTCTGCCACTAGATGGTGCTAAAGAGCATAGGAATTCTCCATGCTACTCAACTCCATTAAGGTGGCAGGAATGCTGTGCGCTAGGCATTCTCCTAGTGTACGGCTGCGTGGGTGTTTTATAAACCATTGCCAAAGTGTTAACTAATTGTATTTAGTGACAAAGACCTGACTACTATCAACAGTTTCAGCATCCAGTACAACGTGTATTCATATCAGAGATGGAATCTGATTGATTGCTGTAGTAGCTCCTCCGCCTTGGTTTGATTTTATTGTAACCAGCCGTGTGTAATGATCATTCCTGCTTCCTGCCATGTGCACCCCCTGGACAGGCAGGCAGACCGAGAGGGCCTCCAACTAACCTAAAAATGTTTCTTCTTTTGTCCTTTCTCAGCTGTTAATGATCGTTTCAGTCATCCTGGAGAGAAACCCGGAATTTGAGTTTCAAGAGAAAGTCGATTTGGACAAACTGGTGAAAGAGGCATTTAATGATTTTCAGCGAGACCAGAGCCGGCTTCAGGGAGCGGAGAAACAGGTGAGCCGGGACAAGCAATCACCGTCTCAAGGTCACCGACTCTCCTGCCAAGTGATCTGATAAAAATCTCAGCAAATAGAGCACGGCACACAAAATTAAATTTGGCCAGTCACCTGCGTGTCACAGCGACGTGACGCCCTGTGCTGTGATATCGGGAGGCTGTCACACCGGGGAAAGCAGCAGGAGATCAACAAGAGGGCATTGATCTAAAGAGAGCCTGTCATCCAGCAAATATAGATCTGTGAATTGGATTGTTGGCTCTTTTACATGACAGTATTTTGGGCTTACTCGTCCTGCAAAGAGCACCTGTCATAGAGCAAATTATCTGAGAGAGAAGGCTGAAATGGAAGCTGCCTCTGTCTGGCATATGGTTGGCGTAGCTCAGAGTCCCTGATGGGTGAAATCTCATAGGATATTAGGATTCATAGATTGTAGTGTAATGACTCGGGTATGGCAGCTGTAGAAGGCTGCAGAATAAATACAAAAGAGAGAGAGAGAGAGAATGCCAAATCAGTGATTAGACCCCATTTACATATGTTCTGTGCAATAATAAACACATAATAATGTACACTGTGTTAGGGGAGCCTATCCAAAATGAAGGGGTTGCCAATGCACCCCAACATTCTTAAAGCAGAAAAATAATCTGTATATATTTTGCCCTCTTTGGCTCCTCCCTCCCTCATCAATATGCTAATTACATTTTCTTTTAACCTTTTCATTTTTATTACCTACCTTATTGTAGAGCCAATGATGTAAATACTGCGTCTCTGTGCTTTTGAATGCAATGCTGGTGGGAGAGGCTGGCGGGGGGCAGTACATAGCGTCCTTAAAGATCACAGCACCCTGCCTCAGTACTCTTCTCATGAGCCCTCAGCCCTGATGCAAGCAATGGGCTGGCTCTTGGGAGCCAAATATATAAATGTCTTAATGGGTGGGTGTCAGTCTGGAGCAGTGAGTGTCCTTAGGCATGCTGCATTTGCATGTAGACTACCCGAGGTAACATCCACGTGTCATGCTGAGCCTTCAGGTAAGAGACAGTTAAGATGGGGAGGGAAGGTCTAGATCAGGGGTCGGCAGCCTGGGCACTGCAGCTGTTATGGGACTACAAGTCCTATGAGGCATTGCAAGACTATGAAAGCCAAAGTCATGACTCGCAGAGCATGAAGGGATTTGTAGGTTGTGCATAGCTGGAGTGCTGAGGTTGCCAAGGCCTGGGGTAGATGATGCTGGATATCCTCCAGACCAGGAAATGAGACGAGCTCTATCTGACTTGCTGCAGCTTCTGATGCACATGATGAGATGCTCACAGTGTGCAGTGAAATCGGAGTAAGCCATTTCAGTCCAGGATCTGCAGAGGGAGAGAGTTTATACTCCCCTTTCCCCTCTGCCTGTTCCACCAATCTTCACTGCGCATAGAGCCGGTGGTATGCCATGAGTTGTGCCAGCACACGCATTGCCCCAACATATAAGTGTGAATGAGCCTTTAAAGCACCAGCCAAGGGCAGGGACCCCAAGATGCTTTCTGGTATCTGTATTACCCTAAAAAGCCTACTCTGTGCAATCTCTACTTCTGCTACTTTGGGGGCTAATCCCCACCTACTATAACTAATCCCCACCTACTATAACTAATCCCCCACCCACTAGAACTAAACCCCACCCACTAGAACTAATCCCCACCCACTCAAACTAATCTCCACCCACTAGAACTAATCCCAACACACTAGAACCAATCCCCACCCGCTTGAACTAAACCACACCCACTAGAGCTAATCCGCACCCACTAGATCGAATCCCCACCCACTAGATCGAATCCCCACCCACTAGATCGAATCCCCACCCACTAGATCGAATCCCCGCCCACTAGATCGAATCCCCACCCACTAGATCGAATCCCCACCCACTAGAACTAATCCCCACGCACTAGAACTAATCCCCACGCACTAGAACTAATCCCCACCCACTAGAACTAATCCCCACGCACTAGAACTAATCCCCACCCACTAGAACTAATCCCCACCCACTAGAACTAATCCCCACCCACTAGAACTAAACCCCACCCACTAGAACTAATCCCCACCCACTAGAACTAAACCCCACCCACTAGAACTAATCCCAACCCACTCTAACCAATCCCCACCCGCTAGAACTAAACCACACCCACTAGAGCTAATCCCCACCCACTAGATCGAATCCCTGATCAGCCACCTGATCATCTCGCCCCTCCTCATATTCATTTTTATCTCAGGCACTGCTGATGCATGAATGTTGAATACCGTCTCCTGAAGAAGCTAAACTTTGCGAAACGCGTTGGGACAATCATGTTATTTTTATATACAATCGGATCATGTCATTTTGAACAATAATGACTACAGGGACTATCATGCCAGTTATGTATTTGTATTTTTGTACATTTGATGATTATGGCTTTTATTATGTATATATATATTTAGAAGCAATCAGCCCGAGACTGTATTTTGTATTTTATATTCAATAAATTGATACAACTTTTACACATGCATGGGTCACACCTATCTTTTTTCTTTTTCTATATTCAATGTATTTGAGAGGGAGAGATAGTACAGGGAACCTATGTTGGGGCAATCCACGATTTTTCTTTTAACCTGTCTATAGATGGCATAATACCGTTTTATTTCCCCTCTCTCTCCGCAGGACGACATGTCTGCCTTCTACAACACCCCCCCTCTGGGCAAGCGAGGGACCTGCAGCTACCTGGCAAAAGCCGTGATGAGCGCGCTGCTGGAAGCCGAGGTCAAGCAGAGCAATGAAGACCCGTGCAGCATCAGCTAAAAGTGCCAGCGGGTGCCGTATTTACACCTCGCCCCGGTCTACGGTGTTCAGGGCTTAGTGAAGTGTGCCAGCCCGTGCTTTATACTCAAGACAAGTGGCTGGCAGAGACCATGCCATGTGTCAGGAGGTGTTATGCTGCGTTAGTAGAGAATGTGTGTTGACATGGCTTTAGAGAAAAGGCCGCGCAGGCTTCAGCGGGATGTGTCGGCTCAGAGATCTTCCCGGGGCGGGCACATCAGATTACTATATCGTGTGTTTGCATTCTTGTTTTGGTGCCCGCCATGCCCCCGCCATCACCCGAAAACTTCACTTAAAGGGCTTTTTTATTCTGAATCTTGTTTCCATCTAAGTTGTTTTATGGTTCACAATCCATCTATTCCATAATCAGTGCAAAGATTGTGTTTATAGTACCATGGCCCCACAGCGGTCAGTCCCTCAAAGCAATGGTTCTCAACCTGTGTAACCTCAAGAGCCACATTTTCCCTTGGTCATTAAGTCGCGACCCAAGGCGCACTGCAATGGAATGAACGGAATTTCAGTGCGGGCGTACGAGCATTGCTTGTACAGCTCCCTTGCGTCCCCTGTAGAGTTGCCGGGAGCCAGAATGTGACGTCACTCTGGGCCAAGCACCTCTACAGGACACGTGAGTGAGCTGTAAGCAATGCATGTATAGATGGAGCTCCCTCACGGTCATAGTTCCAGCCCACCCCACCTCAAGCTGACACTCGGCACCGGGCAGCATATTTTGAATGGCTGATTGGCGCGAGAACTGACAGAGCTGCGCTAGGGGGGAGGCTGAGGAGCCCTCACCTAGAAAAGTGGAAGGCACACGGCGACCCACTGAACACTGGGTTGCCACCCACTTTTGGGTCACGACCCACCAGTTGAGAACCAAGGCCTTAAAGTGTATGTACACCACAACAACGAACTTCTCTTTTTTCCTCCCTATCGGTCGGCTCGCCCACAACTGTCGGAATACAAAGGCCTGAGCAGGCCATGCTGTTTAGTGTGGATGGAGGAATCTGTTATATTTTTTTTCCGTTCAGCCCGCAGGTTGAAGAAACAAATACAACAGGGTATGACCAGCTTTAGCTTCTTGTATGCAAGGAGAGACTGAGAGCAATGAAAAAAAAAAAGTGACATCTGATCCATGGAAACATTTGTATGGTATGAGGAACCCTCATCCAGAAATAACTTATTTGGAAACCAGAGATGTTTAAAAAGAACCCTTTAAAAATCAGTGCTGTGCGCTCAGGATGTATTGATGTGATGTAAGACAACCAATTCTACATGACAGAGACTGAAAAGAGAAATGTCTGTTGTCCTGTACAAACCAATCACCTTTCTGTTCCATGCCATGATTCTGGGTGGATGGGTCACACTTCTCTTCCGGTTTTTGCACTGCATATGTCTAGGCTGCTACCGTGCACTTTGTACAAGAGATAAAAAAATGTTATTTTAGAAAGCGACAAATACTTTACCTTTTGTCAGAGATTCAAAATATATCATATACTGTAAAATTAGAGATTTAAGGTATGTGAATGATGTGCAGTGTTTTCCTATAGCATTAAGTGTCAGAGGTGCAGTTGAAGGTCACTTCCCCCTCACGGGTCTCCGTACCTGCCCCCACCAACCATCCCT